CTTATTCAAAAAATAACTACATCTATTACTTTTTGAAAACGACAATAGCTAAAATCAAAAAAGTAAATAGCGAGTATTCTATTGAAAAAACTCTGAAAGTTTTTATTAATGACATATTTAAAACAAAGTCATTAGATGCAAAAAGCACAAAACTGCTTAATTACAATACTTGACTTTATACTCCTCGGAATCTTGTCAATCATTTAAGAAAAAAACAAAGTGCTTTACTCATGTCATTTTCTAACATGCTTAAAAACGCGTTTTAGGAATAGTTAGTAACAATCGAATGTTGTCTAAATAATACTGGCAACTATTTGAACACTTAATCAAGTACGATTCAAAGTCTCTCTTCAATTTTTTTAGATTGCCTTTTAATATTACAAAAACCTGTTAGGCAACTATAAGTAAAAAACAAAAAAAAAAGATGTGATGAAAATTATAAAACTAAATAAAAGATAAGAATTATAGATAATTTTGACTACGAATGGAAACAACAGTTGTGTTTAAGGGCGACTTCGAAAACGTAGTCTTCCACTCTTCTCATTTTATCTAGTTTAGGAGTGAAAACTTAATGAAAACGACACTATGACTGTAATTGATCTTCTTTGAAAAAGTCCACTCATTTTAGGTTCCTGCTATTAAAATTTCCTCTGAACCCTAGATTAATTCTAGAAAATCTGTACCATTTTATATGATATATATTTCAAATGTCAGAATGATGATTCTTACTTTGACGATATTTGCCTAATCCAAGCGCTCTAAGCATTTCATCAAATTCATTTTTAACATTCCATGAAGGTGGTTTTATTTGTTGATCAGCTGATCGATTAGCTCGATTTTTCCATCGACGTATTTGTTCCAATGCATGTTTAAATAAAATAGGTGGAAAATCAAGAAAGACTCTTCCATTATTGTCGCGTTCAATCAAATTGGATTGATTTATATTATCATTTTTAAAGATTGAGGCAAGTATTGTATTTGGTATATAAGTCAGAGTCTCTCGTGTAGCATATATTAATTCACCACCTACGTTCAAATGTAAAACTTTGTTTCTGTTTTTAGCAAAAAATATATTTCCGGTTCGTCTTTCTTCTTGTAGCTGACTCGATGGATTCGATGATGACATTAAAACAGCGCTATTTGCTTTTGCTAATAGAGACATCAACATAAACGCCATGATGTACTATAATAGTCAGAGAAAATAAAAGTGTTTCCACGTTCGATTGTAAATAAAATATGGTACGAACTTTTGTCGACAAAAGGTTAAAAGGACCGGTAGTATCGAACCTGAAAGTCGAATTCAATTGTTGAAGTCCTCTTCTACTATTCAATTATTGAATTCAGGTATTCAGACATTCAATTTTTCGCATGTTAACAATAGTTGCTTCCATTCCGAATTTTGAATTCATCTAATATTGCAATTCCTTTCTATCCATCAGCAAATTCATCAGTTCACTTTCTTTTCATAAAACAACAATGGGCCTTCCCAAAAAACATAACGTCAAACAAATACTTTCTAGCATATCCACGTAG